ATAATTTTACGTCATAGTTGCAAGTGCCGAGAGGTGTATGTTGAGTGCCGCGCATGACTCATATCTCTATAATTTTATTACGTTAACATAGCTTTATTTTATCATTCCTGACTTGTCTCCTGTTTAACTTATTTATTTATTGTATATTTTATGTAGCTGACTATCGAATTAATTTATACTATTATACAGAAGACTCGTTGATTTTGAGGAGAAAACACGAATGTACCTTTCACCTTGATGAGTCATGCCCGACGTTACTCTAAAGAATGCTCAAATGTGCCGTTGATCTAGTGATGTATTAATTTATTGAAAATGTCGAATAAATTTATGTGTCCGTTATATATTTGATATTTATTTATTTATCTATCTATTCATTTATTATCAGATACTTTGCGGTGTGATACAGTCTCTGATACATGTAGGTTAGACAGCAGCAGTGACAGCTATACATATCCAATTTAATTTAATAAATTCATTATATAATACCTATGTCACTTGCTTTAATTAATTGTTTATAAGTCAGCTGTCTAACCATAAAATCATTTTATATTACATATCACATATAGTGATATACCTCACTTTGGCTGCGTAGAGTGAGTCGATGACCAATACTGCCACATATGCATGGGCCCATATAATAAGTGCTGCAGGCGTTTGCATTCCTCTCTGCGCATAGAATAGGCTGTTGCAGTCGCTCCATATTGCACTATATTCCAGATCTAGTCCATTGTGTTGTTCAGCATCTCACTGTGGCAGCTGTTAAGCAAGAAAGAATATAACATAATTCTAACTATATACACCAAAATATACGTATAAAGTACATAATTGGCAGGCATCACCGTACTTGTTGTCTTTATCTGAATGGCCACTGCATAAAATTAGCTTAAATTACTGTTAACTACATGAATATATAAGACTCAAAGATATGAACTGTCAAATTAAGTGAGAGGTTAGGTGTCAAAGGTGGTCTTGGATGTGGCGAGAGTTTGCTAAAGTTACATATTTATATATCAATGTACTAAGTATTTAAAAGCTTTAATCTATTTATATACAATTTATCTGAACAAACTAATAAATAACATTCACTCTATATACATATATACACACAGCGCAGTTGTCATCGATGCAGTAATTTATATGATCTCTTGGCATCAATTCTCGTTACTCGTCTCATTGTCCGTCTTCTGTCGCTCCATCATCGTGTTGCCGGTCTATTTATTTATCTATTTATTTATTTATTTTATTTATTTTATCTATTTTATCTATTTATTTATTATTTTATCTGCATGACATCTGCAACAGAGAATTTTATTAATATAACGCAACACAACAGACTATTATAAAGACTGACACATAATAATTACATACTTATCATCTTTTTTATCCACCTGACGTATTGTCAATTATTTTTTTTTATTTTTTTTATTCCATCTGACAGTGCAGTGGCTAGATGCACATGTATATTAATCAATTCGCATAACCTGCAAGCAGTGTCACAGTGAGATCGCATATATAAGACTGACTATTGATATATATATACATATAAAATACTTAGCTGGACGGAGCGGCTGCCTGTTAATTAATTAATTATTATACTAGGTAGTGCACACAGCGTGCGGAGGGTGCAATCTGCAGTGCATGGAGACGGTCAGTGTTGGGCCTACACTCCACGTGCGGCATTTAATTGTCGCTTCCTCGTGTATATACGGCCGGCCGACTATCCACGATACCTGTGGTCGGCCGTAATTAATTAACTTAACAACTTTTCACTGCACTCGCATTGCACCGCTGTCACTCGCGCGTATTTACTTCTTGCGACACGTACTGCGCGGTTCGCTAGAGTGGCAGCACGCAGTGCGAGTTTAAGCCGCACGTGGCGCCGCCTGCCTTAAGCAACGTTCTCGTGTTACATAGTGATAAAGGCGGGCGGTGAAAGTCCGGCGTGGGAACGATATATTATTGCTATATAGAGGCCCGCGAGCAATAATAACACATTTTTAAACGCCCTCGCGCCATATTAAATTACCTAGTTGCTTTCTAGTAACTTTTCCAAACGGCGCGAGCGGCTTAAGATTTCTACATATTCCGCGTGGGCAAACGCGTGGGCACGCGGAATCGAATCGATTAATTATTAAATTTTGAGCTCGCGGGCAGATTTTCCATTGAAATTTGAATTCCCCAGCAGTCTTAGCTCGGGGAATTAGTTAGATTTAGTTTGTAAGTCGAGTGTGCGTGTGCGCGATTGGCCGAGAAGCGATTTCGCGTTTTTGTTTACCGCGTCGCAACTTCGTGTTAGTTCGCGTGTGCACAGTGTTAGTGCCGGTATCCGTGGGTGCCGTTAATAGACTTTAGACTTCTCGTGAACGGTGTTGGCGGCCCCTAGTAATTTTAATACTTACCTTTACTTAATTTAATTTAATTTTGTCGGGGCCACCCACGAACGAATATGTCGAGTCCACGGGAAGTCCTTATTAATTATCCGCTCCCCGCTACGGTTAGATGCCCACGGCTGGCTAAGCGAGTCAGCACCGTCGCGGGTAAAGGGGGAGTATTGTGACCCGGAGCACTTACTCAAACATTTACGAAAATGCCACCCCGGAGACACGATATGGTATGCGTGTGGCGTGTGCGGCCTCAGGGGCACGGGTCGATACCCACAACGAACGGTTAAGGTGCACTATGAGGCCGAGCACGCCCAGTCTCCGCGGGTGGACGCTCCGAGCACTCGCGGAACCGATACAGTGACGCTTGATAGTGACAGTGACGGTGAAAACGATGTGACGCGTAAAACCGGCGCGACTGCGCGGTCGACGGCGGCGGCCGATGGACTGACGCGGCGCAGGGCCGCTGATCCGCGGCCACCCAGGTTACGCTCCACCGCCACCCCATCGCCAACAACAGCGCCAGCACCATCGACCAGGACGTCCCCCTCATACGCGGCCGTGACCGCGGGCACAACGGCGACGAAGGATTCGTCGCCGGTCACCAGCGGTGCCCGCGGAGCGGCCGCCACCAGGAAAGCCGCGCCCCGCCTATCACCAACGTCCGGAGGAGGAGCGGCTGCCAGAAGGACGACGAGGACGACGACCGCCGCTTCAACAAGTAAGTGTCGAGTGTTGTCGGTAAATAAAGTAGACGCGCCCATCCGTATGGCCACCACCACCGGCGCGGCGCCCGCGGTGCCCAGTGCATCGCGGTCGACCGCGCGCGGCCAGCCAACCACAGCG